CTTGACCCGCTGCGAGCATCCGATCCTCGCTATGGACTGCCCCAATCAGCGATTCGCCTATTATTGCGACGAAAAATCTATTGCGGTGAACGTTCAGTGAAAGCTTTGCTTTTTCCGTCATTACCAGAACAAATCTGACCAAGAATTAGAGAAAGACGTTCGGGACGGATATCACCAGATTTTTAAGCGTTTTTTTGAAGAAAATGAAACATATTCGAGTCCGGATCGTCAATGGTCTCCCTCAGCGACTTGAGCGGGTGGCGGAAGAAGGTTATTGGTAGGCCTTCCTAATCCCAAAGGCGCGGCGGCCAGAGGTCCTCGAGTTTATCGAGAAACAAATCGAGCACATTATCAAACGCGCTATTTCCTTTATGGAGGTCTTGGGTTATCTCCCCGATGGGGCCCGAGCAAAGGGGGCTGGAGCGCCAAACCGCCACCGAGATTTCATCTCCTTCCTGCGCAATCCATTGCAGCATATATCAAACCATCCCCTTGCTAAGTTGAGCTTGCTGCAGCTAAAAAACTCCCAAGCGTAAAAGAGCTCTATGTTTTGTTCGAAGTCCACCCTTAGCTTCTCAATGAAGAGTCTGTCCTGAGCGCGGTCAAATTCAGGTTGCTGAACTATTCTGAAGATACAGGCCAAGTTCGCGACAGCGTCGCTGATGTCCGTTTGAAAAACCAACTCCCGGCGGTCATTACAACCACGCCTTCTCTCCAGACTCGAAAACAGGGGAGCTCGATCGCTTACTGCTGTTCGTCTTTGGGCGCTTTCTGGGGGGCCAGAAAATTCCCGAAGCCTTTCTCAAAAGCAACTATTTCACTCCGCGTGCGCAGCTGGTACAATTATTTACGGAAAACCCTCAAGGGTTTGAAGCAAATCTTAGGAGCCTCAGGCGGATCAGGATATGCGTCTTGTCATCGTGGCTGACTATCGCGTGCTTGCGAATAAAGTAAACCAACAGCTTTTCAGCAGATATCCCTTTGAGGTGGTCGCTAACGCTGTAGTCGACTTCGGCCATCCCCAGTTTCACCTGGCGAGGTGGAAGTTGCAGGAGATCAAACAGCATGCTCTGGCGGTCCCGGGGTCAGGGCACAAGTTCGGTGATTTGGTGGCCTTGCTTGAAACCTACTCCAAAACACCCGAGAGCAAACTTATAAATTATGATCGTCATTTTATGCCTGGAGGCGTCAGAGGCAAGATGACTTGCGATGCAGCCTTTATCAATGCGCTCCTCATTAACGGGGCCGCATCACTAGCAAGTGTATTGCTATATTGAACGCTCGGGGCCTTGTTTGAATCTTTCATGGACATGGCATTTTGGGCGACCACTTGGGAGAAGACGGCGGCAAATTCGGTGATCAGTAATAAGGAGGAGGAGCTTGCTCGTTTGCAGAATGCTGTGGTGCGAAACGAAACTAAAATTCAGAATGACGATACCGATGGCACTCTCTCATACTTTCGCGCAGCTGAAGATAAACAAGCTCGACCTCCATGGTGTTGATGAGCGTTTGGGTGCTTTACTGAGAGTTGTTAAAGGAATGCTGGCCTGCTCTTAGGACAGGACGTTGTGGTGGCGCGGTTTGGGGAGGGTGCGAATATGAAGAATGGCAAGATACAGATTCTGGGTCTCTGGATTGAGCGGGCTGAAAACGAGTGGTATCATCTGAGCAGCGGTAAACTGCAAGAGGCTTGGGGTTGAACTTCCATGCCTTCTAGCAGAGGGATGGCACCTCTCTTCTCACTCGCTATACCATGATCCCGCGGGAAGTCTCGAACCGACGGGGCACGTTCGGATACAATTGGAGACGTACCTATAGGTTGTATTATCTTGAGTTACCCTGATACATATCATCAGCATGGCGTTAGATTTGTGGATGACCCAAGCAGTCGAGATTTGGCTCCAATCAAGGAAACCTCCTGTGACGGATTTAACGCGCTGCAGCTGCCAATACGATGCAAAGCAAGATCTACCGAGCTCCATCTCTGCATGGGAATACGCTTTTGACTGTCCCACCTGTACGCAGCTGGAGGCCGTTCTCACCCAAGCTCAGGCCGCCAAGCGATTTGAGTATCGATGGCGCTGCGATGAAGGCGAGACGCCCTCCTATGCGTATTACTCTGCAGACGGAGAGGGTTACCGGCGGATGGTCTCCACTTGACCCGGTTCTCAGCCCGAGTCGAGTGCTTCGCATGGGGATCGTGGCTGCTGTAAATGATGTTGCGACACTCCGGCTGAAGGTGAACGATGTCGAGAAGACAACTTTCGAAGTGCGCAAGCCACGCGGGCTGGTTTCAGCCTTCACAGTTTTCAACCTTGCATTAGAGATTGACGCAGTGGCCGTTTTTGGCTTTTCTTCAACAGACGCTACCGTTTGTTTTATAGTGACATTGCTATTGGAGCAGTATGACTTCGTGTGAGCCCTCCGCGCCCCCTTCTTCACCTCCGGTGTCGACGGCGCCTCTTTATCCTACGCTGCCTACTGCGAGCGATGCTGGAAATACGTACCGGTTACAGAAGATTTCAGAGGTCGAAGCTCGCTTGCACACGGAAATGGAAACCCGCCAAACGCTCTACAAAAAGTACAAAAGAGCTGTGAACGGGTTAGACAGCGCGGGCAATGCCCTGTCAGCTATCATTGTGGGCAGCGCTGTTAGCGGCGTGGTCGTACTAAGTACCGTTGTGTAACTCCTGTCGGGATTGCCCTCGAAGGCCTAGCAGCTGTTTGCGGCACGGCCACTTTCGCTGGTCGGGTCGTGAGCCGCAAATTGGACAAGAAAGCAGAAAACACGATCGCATTTGGACGTCGCTGAGACCGTGTACCGAACAATCTCCCTGATCACGAGCGGAGCGCTTCTAGATGGCAACTGCTACGAAAGTGAGTACCAGCTCGTTTTGGGCGAAGCAGAGCGCTTCACTTCGTTGAAAGACGACATTAGAAGCCGCACAAAGAGAGCTCTCTGCGAACAGACGCGAGAGATAGAAGCACAGCTGGATGCTGCACGTGCGAGCGGGCGTGAGGAGGGCATTCAGCTCGGGCGCATGGACGCTCTAAAAAAATCCAGCGTTAAGTGGCGGATGGCGATTCACGCTAGACATAAATTTTGTGCGCCACTGACAGTGTTGCATCATTTTGGTGTGACAGTTTTCGTCACCCCCACCCACGCCAGGGGCTACAGACCGAAGCTGTGATCATAATAAATCACTCCGGTGAACATCTCTTTTTAATTACAGCTTGTTGTTTGCGAGGGGATGGAGTGAGGGAAAACTAATATTTGAATAAAATTGTGTGTATGAAATAGCGTCGCTGGTGTGGAGTGTTTGGCATGTCAAACTGGCGCTATGAGCGATATGAATCTAACCGAGCATTTCGATGGTCGTTGGCATAATCGCGCGTGGTTGGCTGGCAAAGCTATGAAATTCATTTGCCGCCTGTATGACGACAGCGGTGCTGTCAGCGGCGGGGATGGGAATTGCTATGTAAGCATGTCGAGTCACCTGGGCACCAAGAAAAGCTAGTTGAGGAGCTGATGAGATCTAGGGGGTGGCCTCACCGCTTCCTCCGGGCTGCTCCCGAGGAGCTGCAACGGCAAGTTGGGCTTGCGAGGGAGGGAGTAGATGCCCACCACCGCATGTTGGACTGGGTCCTCGAGGGGAACCCTCTCGACGAGTACTAACGGGTGCTACCCCGACGGCCGGCCGCGCGGGCGCTGGTGGTAGGCCGCCCGTCTTTGGCTCCTGGGTTTGGCCTTTGCTATCCGGTGCGATTTTGGTAAGTACTGTATGCTAGCATAATTACAAGAACCACGTACGCGAGCTAGGGCTGAGGTGCTTAGATTTGCGTATACTAGGTCTAAGGGTGTGAGGTGCGCCAGAAACGACGCTCTTTATACAACTGTTGGAGCATTTGCATTTAATCAAAGGTTATTGGCCTGTGAGTTATACAACTGTCATATAGTGGATAGCATCACCGAGTAACTGAAGTCTAAGAAAATTGATTCCATAGTTGTACCTGGTGGGTGCATAAAGTACATCCAGGAACCGTATGTCAGTTGGAATAAGCCGTTAATGGCTTCTTGCACTGAAAAATACGATGAATAACTGGCAGCAGCTGGAATTTACGAAGCAACTGCTGCTGGGAATTTGAAAGCTCACCCACTGAGAGATATTCTGCAATGGATTTTGGAGGCATGGACCAACAGACGTTATCAAAAATTCTTTCCAAAGTTACTCTATGAACCTTCCCGTAGATAGTTTAAAGGACGAGAAATGCTTCGTACACAGTTAGAAATCTTGAGGGAAACTGAAATAGGCAATTCTTTTGAATGCACAGACTTCATTATAGAAGACGCATACCCTCACGCGATGGTGCTTGTAGACACAGATCAAGAGGGTCAGTGACATTGAAATAGATGAAGAATACTGGAGCAGTGGGCAATAACTTTATTCTATAGATCTGGGAGCCTTTTGAAACAGTTCTGTTTGCCCTAAAAATATTTAAAAAATATGAAAAACTTAATGTTATAGAAAAAAGTCGCAGACAGAAATTGAATATAGCACTTGAATGGAACATTTCTCAATTATGTCTCTTTTCCACAAACTCCGCCACAGAAAAAAATGCCTCCCTCGTACATAAGCATCGCACGTGAAGGGGGAAAATTCAATGGCACCGCGGCGCTTGTTCGAACAAAACGGTTATCGTCATTGTTTGGCATTCACATGTTAAAATGATAATTTATGCAAATTTTGTATTACAGTGGCTGAACTATTGCATTAGTCAATGGTCGAAATCTGTCCTCTTGTCCCCCGAAATCTTGTGACATCGAAATCAATATCGACGATCATATAATGCATACGTTTAATATACATGAAACTAAATCTTAATTAAAAATTGCATCAAATGTCCTCAACATTGTAAATGATGTTACACTAGTGAAATATCCCGAACAAATTCACCTCTTAATGAGCTGAATAATGAATGATGATTGGCTGCAAAAATGTGTCGGTGTCGTTCTCAGTTCGAGACGATTGCAACTTATGTTGTTTGCCATTTGGCGTTTATCGATATAAGTAAACCCCACCGTATTTATAAGACAAAATAGAGAAATACATTGATAATGCATCGGCCTATCGAGTATGACGGATTGAACTTCAAGTACATCGAGCAAACAAGCCAAAAGCAGGTAATATTAATTTATATATTTAATCGACTGACAATTTATTTTGTCTGCTTTATTGTAACATCTTCGAACTTGTAACTCACACCCCTTTTTCTTGTGCCCGCCCACTGTCCGTCGACGTCAAGGAAACTTCGAAGTCTCCCTTGGTTTTATTAGCAGCAACGTGTAGTAAAATTGGAAACGAACACCAGCAGTTATTGAACGTTTCAAATGAGGCCTTCGTGGGCCAAACGGCCGGCTCACAGTGCGTCGTGTCTTGTTTTCAAGAGACAAATCATTTCGACCAGACATCGGAGTCGTATGTTGTTTTGCCATCCACCGAAGCGAATACGAATTTTTTGACACATGGAAACGAACAATCTATGAAAGCTGACCTTCGTGATCAGCACGAAGCGAGAGAAATTTACGGCGCGAAAGGAAGTGATGAACTACATTCCAATTTGATATTCTCACAGCTAGATAATGTTCAGGCTTCGCGCATGGATGCCGCTCAAATTCAACCTGAACAACAATGGACAGTAAATTCTCCTTTTACATCTTCTCCTTTAAATCCAATATGTTCTTATGTAACTGCTCGTCCTCCTATTCAGTGGAAAGAGAAATTGGGGACATGGCCGCCATCCAGTGGCAAAGTGATGAAAAATCAACCTAGTCGACATCGTGATAGATCATCAAATGAGCAGATGAACAGTGCTGTAATATCTAGTGGTAACCAAATGTCTATGTCCATGCCAAATGGACTACAAACAATTATTACACCAAGCAATGACACTCCTATATCCTTAAATGCAACACCTTTAAATAACACAAACCTGGAATGGGTCACAACAACAAAAGCTATTACTTTGCATAACACTTCAAAAGATGTGAATTTTACAGATAATCAAACAGATACAAGTGGAGTCATGAATGGCAGCACTCCCAAGCAACTAAAAGAGTGACGTGTAGCTTGCACATGTCCTAATTGTAGAGATGGTGGGGAGATTGGTGAATGGTAAGAAAATTCATATTTGCAATATCCCAGGCTGTGGTAAAGTGTATGGAAAGACTTAGCATCTTGAGCTCATTTACGGTGGCATTCTGGTGAGAAACCTTTTGTTTGTAAATGGCTTTATTGTGGGAAGTGTTTCACAAGGTCTGATGAGCTCCAACGACACATTCGAACACATACTGGTGAGAAAAAATTTGTATGTGAAATATGCAACAAAAGGTTCATGAGAAGTGACCATCTTTCAAAGCATATAAAAACACATGGAAATAATTCAAGGAAAAATGCTGCACAATCAAAGAAAACCTTGCAAGTTCAGGCTTCCTCAACCAGTGCGTCTACCCAAACAATGGCCACAAATTTTCCTGAAGCAGGTACAGCCCTCCATTATTTACATGGCTCAGAAATTCTTTCAAAACTATCAAATGATAAAATAGTCAGTAATATTACATCACCAGCTTCAAGCAAGGTTGCTGTGCTTGTAACTCAACAACCTGTCAGTAGCAAATCACATCATCAAGGAAATATGCAACTGAAACATGTACATCAACTACAAGTGCAAAGAGATTTCACAGACCCATCTTCTAATTCTGATCAACCCGAGGCACAGGCTCAAATTATTACATTAGATGATGGAACTGTCCTTGAAATACATTGTACTCCAAATGAACCTCCTGATGTTAGCACACATTGATGCTGAATGTGATGTGATATCAAGTGAAATTGATCATAATTCTGCTATTGCAAATTGATCTTGATGAAACTAATATTATCAAAATATTGTTAGCTCCTAATTGACAAAATGGAATATTCACAATATGTCTAACTATAAAGTTTGCTTTTTCATATGTTATTTGTACTTTTAATGCCTAACCAAAAATAAGATTGTTCATTCAAAGTTGTCACCTGTGAACAATCTTGTTTTTGTTTATGAATTCTCATTATTTGCATGAATACCTGCAATTTGACACATTCAAATTTGTGTGACAGGAAAATTTTTAAGAAATCAAGTTTTTTATGGAATTTACATATTTACCATATTGAGTAACAGTAATGGAAAGTGCAATTATATCCAATCATGGATAGAGAGTGCTGATTTATGAAAAGCCATTATGGATTTTTAAAAACCTGCATGGATTTTAAACAACACAATAATGGAGTTTAGGGAAAAACAAATTCAGCATATGGGTGTTAAAATATTTGTTTTGACTCTTAGTTGAAACGAATGGTCACAGGGATAGAAACTCAGTAAGTGGTCAAAGTGCTAAATGTCCTGCAATGTGTCAATATCGGTTCTAAACATTATGCACAATCGATTCCTATTCCATCATATCTTACATGGAAGCTGGAATTTTATGGTAGTAATAGCTATCAAATATTTCTTGCACAAAATCAAACATAAAATTGTGTTATTTTATTTAAATCTTGATCTGAATAGATCAACTATTAAAAAGTACCAATCAAATATTGCGTTGGTCAGTATAGTCCTTTTCTTCAAGAAGATAAATCTGTTATCACATGATAACAGCTATAAAATAAAAAACTCCACTGTATAATGCAAATACAAAAAAAATAGTAAATTCTGATAGTAATAAATTGTCGCTACACTACTGTGAAGGTACCACAGGATTCATGCTGACATTCATCATGACATAAATCCTCACATTCACCACAGGATTCACCCAGTGAGCTCCGAACACAAACGAGCTACAAATGAACAAGATATAACTAATCACATTGCCCAACATCTCCTAATCACAAAGCACAACATTGACTGGGACTCGGCAAAATGCATAACTTACAGTACTGACTATAGTCAACGGCTTACATTAGAAAGTTGGTATACCAACTTGGAACAAAGCCTTGTATAATTCATCGATATATAGTTGCATTATATGAAGCGTTCATCCTTATTTAAAGACGAAATAAAAGTTACATCGTCGAAAATATCGCTAACCTATTTATGTAAAATACAAAAGTCACAAGCGTGTTGAATTATCGGTTGAATGAAATATGTACGTGTCAGAAAATTGTTTTAAAAGAGTTTTTGAGGATAAAGTATTCACAGCAAAAATGGTTTTCGGTGCATGATCTTTTGGACTTCACTTTTCTTAACAAGCACAGTCACGTGACATGCAATGTAATAAAAGGCGTCTTGTAAATGCAGAATAGTTTAGATAGTTATTGGACCCACATGTGTGCATTGCTTAACTTTGTCTTTGTTAATGCTATTGCACTATTTTGGAGGATAAGTTCCATAAAATTTGCGTGTATCTATACCATAGGCAACATATGCCTCACTTGCACTAACTGGTGTAGTAATTCAATTTTTATATAATGCATTTAAGTGGCTTTATGCCAATAAATATCTTGATAACGTATACTCTATCGGGAATGATTTATGCAAATAGTTTCGATTTGGGTAATGCATTTCCATAAATCTGGGAATGACAGGAATCATATTTTTATACTTCATTTTAATATGAAATGTCTAAATGTCCAAGAAATGTTGTTTCTTGGCATATTATTACATATTTTGCTATTTATGTCCTATCAATTTTAGTCAATTCATCTTTTGTGCGTAAAGTCAGTGAACATTGATTATGGACACATTGTATTGTAGCACATTTATCAACTGCGTTAACTAGTTCTTTTCTTTGTTCTTTTGGTGGCGCTGCCAGCATTCCTGTTGGAGAAAAGTGAGGGAGGACCCCAGAAACCTCACACCTTTTTTCCAGAATATGACACGGATGTTCCTTTTACTGTACCTTGTCCGTCGTTCGAAAAGTCTGGGACAACTTTGTGACGTCATGCAAGGGATTTCTCAGTACAAAATATATATACCAACTACCTTGGATGACATCAGAATTTGGCTAGACCCAGACCTCATGCCACAACGGACAAGGTCTATTGAAAGCCAACTTTAAGCCTCCGTGACAAGAAGACAATTTTACCAAATTGAAAAATTTTTACACTGATACGTTAGATATTACACCAAGTTTGATATCGCTATTAAAAATTTTTGCTGATAGGGGCACTTTAATATAGAAACACATTTCACTGGAAATTTGCACTTTAGCGTTTGTTATAAGTTTTAACACATTCGTGAAATACTCTTCGAAAGGTTTCTGTTGTAGCATCTTAAGCTTGGTTCTCATATATAGTCGTCCGCGTCGTTTCAGTCGTGCCAAAATTTCACAGACGACCCGTGCGACTATATGAGAACATTTCAAAGGCGATCGGAATGAACTCAAATGACTCACACGACTGAAAGGACCAGGGCCGCATGGATAGCACTTTGCTCTTTCGGGACAACCGAAACGACGTTGAGAAATGCAAGCAATCTTTTTATTGTGCAAAACGATTTGAAAAAGGAAATAACTAGCCAAAAGACTTTGTCTTTGATAAACAGCAGCTGCCATTTTTAAATGTTTCGCGAAAAAATTAATTATAAGCAGTCTCTCAGCAGCACTAGTACGAATATTTGAGAAGTACATAGCTTGAGTCGTTCCAGTCGTTTTGAAAAACAGCGAAACAACTCGGAACGACTCGGGTGACTCAAGTGACTTAATGAGAATCAGGCTTAAAGCAACAATGTGCTTTGCTAAGAAGCACAACTCATATAAATAAGAGACTTCATATGTGAAGTCTTCAAAACACTCATCTATAAGGCGAATGAATATTTCGTTCGCGCTATGTCATGGAATAAATTGACTTCTTAAAGGATGAGTCAAACGTATATGTTAACATTTATGAAATATCGTTCATATTAATTTTTAGCAACGGAAATTTTCATAAATGAAGCGGCATGCATGACAATCAAATTATTGCACAAAGTTTTGGGTTTATAATTTGTCTAAATAGAACTAAGGAAATCAGATGAAGACAGAATACGAGATGAAGTCATGAATACAGCAGAATTAGCTGCTGTGAAAGCGTTCAGCTTCAACTCTTGGAACGTTTCATTAAAACAGTTTTATCAGGTATGCGAGCTACACACGATGATTTTTTGCTCGTGACAAAGTCATCAAAGATGTTTAATACTTTGCTTGTTGTTCAGAAAAATGCAAGAAAATTTTTTGATCGAACAGATTTTCGCGACAAGTTCATTAAATTGAACTTTGTAACCTTGTATGGGCCGTTACACACGGAGGATGGCACAATATCGACAGTAGTTGAACGTTGTGTTAACGCATGGCACGAAGTTTTCTATTTATTGGCCATACTCCGAAACTTTTCGACAAAATATATTAACTTGCTGTAAATTTATTAATTTTGACAAACCACACGAAACTTAGTAGAGTCTTCGAATGTGCTAATGCAGTGAAAATTTTTCAATATAATGTGTTCCACCAAAGTTTATCGTGTCTTTCTAATGGGAAAATAAAGAAAATGCAGCTTGCCGAATGCTTTTAAATTGAAAATGATCGCAAGAAGGGGTTTGTGCAAATGTTTTGGACAACATGAGAATTTAAGCCAGCTGCAAGCCGCGTAATTGACAATTGAACTTTGTTGCCCTTTCAGAACCGTAACACTTGGTGAATGGCACTAAAATTTTGTTAAATTGCGTGATGTTTCCAAGTTAATTATTACTACAGATATAAATGCAAAGATCAGCCCCATGTATGAATTACTGAGGAGTGAAAATAAATTAAAAATGGGAACTACAAAATCGTTTTACAAATCAGAAGTTGCTACATGAGAGTTTGAGATTTGTAACAATGAGCATTGGTCATGCTGCTCACGTGCTCAGTAAAGTATGCCAGACAAGAAATCAATTGGAATAAATCGATCCGCATTCAGAACATCTCCTCATATTGCAGTTGCGAAAGCCAAAGGAAGCAGTGCGTCATTTTGGAGAAAATCTACATTACAGAGAAATTAAAATGTCCGAGAAGAATGTTGTTCGTATTCCCATGAAATGGGGAAGAATAGAAAGGAAATTCTAACACAGAATACTATTCCCGAACTTGTAGACACAAACCGTCTCATCAGTTGGGTAAAAGAATGCAACCTGGCAGACGAGGCTCTCGTCACAAAATACATGAACGTGATAAGACCGTACCATTTTTCTAGACTCGTGTTTCCAATTTTGCCGGACAAGGATGTTTGTCGGGAGGCATTTGCTGTCTTCATAGAATTTCTTATTGTACTTTATTTATGTGATGATGAACTCGAGGCAAAGTGTAATCTGAATGAGTTAGAGATAGTTTGCAGCGCCTATGATTTCTTAGATGAAAAATTAAAACAATGTTTCCCTAGAATTCCTTCTGTTGAAGAGCTCAGATCGTTTCTGCCGCATGTGAAGAAAGAAAGACTTCTTGCCCTTGTAGTAAGTTTGATAGACAGCGTCAGTCGCGTCGTTTCTCCACTGCTTAAATACAGTGTTTTTCCACAAGAGAGCGTGTTTGACTTTCGCTGTCGCTTCGCTCACTCCTTGGGCTACAACTTGAAAGGGGTTCTGCACGAGAAAAAAATGTTAGGCGGCGTGTCGGAAAACAAGTTATTATGGCGAAGAATATTTGAAGGAGCACCTATCACTTTTCTTATGTACCTTGAGATCTCGTCGCTCTCCGTAACAGGAACCAACAAGCATATTCCTATTGCTACAGAAATGTACATCCTGTCGTCTTTGTGCTGCATGGTGACCAACGACGTCTATTCTTATCATCGCGAATGTAATGAAGGCCTGAAAGTTGACAATATCATAAGTCTTTGGCTTCACAATAAGCAAATAGCAAGCGTGGCAGAGGGGGTAAGTAGAATTTCTAGAATTCTTAACTCAGCTGTCAAATACATGTTGGCCAAAGTAAAAAGCATGAAATCAGAGTATCCAAACAACTTCAACGTGCAGACCCTAACTGAGTTTATCGCTTTATCGTCTGTTGGGTGGTTATACATGCACGACCAAGGTGTTCCGAGGTATAGCGACTCACCATGGAGATTAAACTTGGTTGACATCGAAGAAAGCGACATTACCTCTTGGCTGGCTGAAAAAGATCCGTATGCTGATGGCGTAATCGATCAGTTCAAATATTCCAATCTGGATGCAAAGAAATTCATCGATTCTTTATGCGAGAAAACTTCAGTCAGTGAAGAGCAATGGAATGATTGAGCAATAACATTTCAAATGTGTAGATTCTCTAGAATGCTGAATTTTAACTTACTTTCTTATACAGCATTTTCATTTATGTAATTGAAAATATTAATTCATTTTTGTCATTTCAGTAATCTGTACTTTTTCATTTTCAGTCAAATTGCTTTGATTGAACCAATTTTGGAACATGAAAAAAGGAGACTTATATTTCTTATTGTTGAACTGATGATTTGTGCCGTATCATTCAGTTTTTCAAAACAACAGCAAATTTCAAACTATTATTAATGCCTTATTGATATATACGAACAATATAATACGATAACTTTAAAGAAAATGTGATAGATTTTTTCTTAACTTTTTATGCAGATAAATTTTCTGACGTATATATTTTTATTCGTTTGTTTTCTTATTTGATCTGCTTTGCACCAGACCTTATAAATACAAATACATTTAGCTTCCATTTTCATTTAAGCTCCACCATCTAATAAGCTCCCCTCGAAAGGTGGTAAAATATAAAATCTCACCCTAACCTCTCTGTAATGTATGTGTGTATTTGGGATTCGGCAAGCAATTCTTTGATGAAAATCATAATTCATAACAGCGAGTCAATTGTGGTTGTCAGTTATCTGCTCCTACGAGGATGCATTTATAACTATCGACGAAAGAGCTATATGTCGGCTACACATGTATGAATGCAGATGTGCGTCGTTTTCTTACCAGCGTCAACTTTGTTTGATCAATTAAACTCTTTAGTCTATACAAAAAAGTATATCATAGTTCATCTCCACGGTTCACGAGAGAGAAGTTATCTTATTTGTTATCATTGCAATTTTGCTTCTTTTCATGCAATGGGCAATGGCTTTTTTCGCCACAATTGTAGGATTTTTACTTGTTTCTTTAAAAAAGTAAATATTAAATCTCTGGATATTTACGGATTTTCTGTAATTGACTTTCATATTAAATTTCAAAAAGACTCAAGTCTGCATAGGTTTGGTAAATGAAAACAAACAATATTGTATAGAAATTACTTTAAGAAACCTTTTTGTGATGTTTTGAAGTGCAACTGCATCAAATACTTGTAAAGTTGTAGCACATTTTGATTTTGTTGTATTGATATATGAATTGGGCAAAATGCAAATAATCATCAAAACACTTACGCTTCCAATGGTGTTTATATTTCAATTGTAGTTTTAATACTTCTACCCTTCTTTTTCACTTTGTTTTGTTTTCCTATATTTGCAAAATAAGCGCACAATTTGAATGATTAACATAGTTTTCACCTCAATAATAAATTTCATAAGCAGTTGGTACTGCATTTTGTTCTCTGAATATCCACATCTGGTGTTTTGTTCATACAAAAATGATGAAGTGCAATGAGATATGTTATAGCAAGGCAATAAAACCAAATGAATTAAATACCTTCAGTGTACTTTTATGCTAGAAGCTTAAAAGCTTTTTAGAAATTATTTGATTACCACGATTGCGAGTAAAGGAAATATCAAAACTATTTATTTTCCTAACATAAACACTTTTTTAAAATTTTATCTTTCATACTGCCAACTTCTGTGGTTTGCGGATGCTGAGATAGCGGCAGAAAAGGGAACAAATTTTTGACTCCGGTAAGTAGCACAGTATTAGTTTTACTATTTTGTTTTTAACACGATACTTGAAGAGTGTTTCTACAACTAAGTTTTAATTTAAAGTTATTTTTGTCCAGTCTTGTTTGTTCTTCACTTAATCGCTCGCCAGACGTGGCGAAGCTGTCAATTTTTATCGAGTTTTGCATCCATCCTGTATCATGATCAAGGCATCAAGCTAAACTCTCCTGATTTGAATTGAGTTTACCTCCCAAAATGGGGCATAATTTGTTCATGTTTTTTGAAAAGATGAAGGAAAGTTTACAACAGAGTTGTGCTGAAATTGAATACAGTGCCACGCAAAATTAATGAGAACTATGGTACATGTTGTATGATAAAAATAACTATTAAACTATTTGCCTGCTCAATTTGACTGACTGTATAGTGTAGACAATTATAATGTGATTGGAAAGTTGGATTTATGCAAACAGTTTTAAAGTACTACTTAGCGTTTCTGTAAATGAAGTGAAAATCCGATTCTATGTGATTCAGCGATTGGAAAACATCTTTTGAGCAACACTCGCTGTGCCAATGCTTATTCTGATGAAAACTTTAGAATTATTAAAAAATGTCGCTCGTTATTCCAGCTACTCGTCATGGAGTCGGTATTAATTAAATTGACTAATCCTCTCCTTTGCCGACAAAGGATTACGTGTTTAATCTGTATCTGTTTTAAGTGTCATCTCTAAAAATAGGGATGACATTGACCTTTCTAACGTTATAAATATAGCATGGTTTGGAGGTTCTCATTTAGCAGACGTTGACACCTGATGAGTAGTCTGCCGAAATGCATAGTGTCTCTTTCTAACTGTAAATAACGGTTCCTTTGAATTGTTTAGTTATTATTTTGGTTAAAACAGTTCTCTTAAGAACTATTACATTGTTATTATCACCATTCACCATGGTATTTGCTATTTTGAAATCTATCTGTAAATGAAGTATTTATTGTTATAGTAAACAGGTTACTACTTCAAAACCAAGATAAAAGTAGTGTGTTGAACAATGTGCTAAGATTTGTTTCTACCTTGAAATTTTTGTTCAACAGTAGCTTATGATTATATCATTAATATGCATGAAAAATTAAACACATTATTGTCTCATCTCATCAAATCCATACTTGGTATGATTCCAGGTGATCCACAAATTCACATCGGATGCATTGCTTACAATGAAGTTGAATGTAGAAGAAGCCAAAATACATGGCAAAGAAATTCTTTGTGTCTTATGAAGAATTAGTAGAAATCAATAAAAAGAATTCTTTAAACAAATTGTAAACAAATTTAAATTTGCTCATGGTCAAGCAACCTAGTCAAAGAAGCAAAGTCTGTATTCAACATGTGACCTTTCAATTAATTAGTTTCTTTGTACAAAATACTATTTTCGAGAAACGTGATTTGTAAGTCTTTCATTAATATTTTTTTACCAAGAGATAAAAGGAACTAATTCAAAGGCTTGATGTAAAATACAAAGATTTAACAAGTTGTTTATTATTTAATTCCCAAATGTTAGTTTGTACATATAAATAATTAGTATTGGTAGCTGTAAGTTGCTTAAGCAAAACAGAAGAGTAGTAGTGCTCGAAGGGGTTAGCATTTTTGAAAAATTATATCTTGTTCTTGACATATACTACACAATTCCAAAAAACAAGTAATGCCCATAATATCTATAGAACTTGATAAATTTCTTCACCTACACTGTCAAATAACTATTTTGCCTTCATGCAGCAATAGACAGTGTTTTTGTTAGAGAAACCAATGCACTTTAGTTTCCAAGTTTGTAGTTTCAATGGAAAATTAATGTAGTTCTGTTCAGGAATAGATCCAAGATTCTGCCAAGCTATTTACAAAATACAAATTACCAAGCAGCAGTATCATGGTGTTTTGAATTTTTCTTTTTGTAGCTCTTCTAGTTCAACATACTTTCTTTATGAGTTTTCAGTAGATTTATCAGGTAATGACAATACACTTATGATACTTATCCATGGTAACATTTTCAGTTGATTTATGTCGTAGGACTGAAGCAAACATTTTCTCGCTTCCTTAGGAGCATTTTTACACAGATTTATCCATTTGAGCGAGAAAAATCGTTGCACCAAACTGTTTACAAACAGTCAAACACACAAAAGCATGAAATAATGTATAAGTTTGACGAGATTGACAGGTCTACTAATGCCGTTTGATTTTTACTTTTAAATGGTTAAAATGTCATAACATAACTTAAATGTTACAGCCAAAATATGCGTTTCTCTACAGTCGATTTTCTTATTTTGATGTGTGCGTGTACTGTGTTTTTCACGTAATGCTGAAGCATTATTTTTACATGATGTTGTTGGTATCGTAATTGTTTTTTTTTCACTTGTTATCGTTCATATAAGCAGTATTCAAAATCAGGAGGGAGTGAATATTGAAAAAAAATTTTAAAGTGGAAGTTTTGACCACCACAATCCGCCATTACCGCCATGTTTTTGACCACGGGGTCCAGGCCCCTTTTCCCCTCCAGGTCTTATAGAGCTCAATGATTACGACGGACAGACACTGCCTTACTGCCTCACTCACTCGGACACTTTTTCAGTATAGCATAGTGGTTCGCCGCACATGCACAGCGGCTACCCACAATAACGGTATTAGTCCGTGATCTGTGCCTCAAAAATATGCTTTAAAAATGAGTTTCGTTGGACACCTCAAGGAAGGGCGCAAAATTTCAAAATATATAGAAAGTCACTTGCTGTTTGATATTCTTTTTATTGTCACTTCTAAAAAGCTGCAGTTTTTTAGTATTTTGCGGTTGAATTTCAAAATTCCTCGCTCCTTCAATTTTGAATGTCGCCATTTTTTTGGTGCGGAACTCTTTGTATCTAACTGCCGTTGTATGGCATTGGTGGTTCAGTGGTAGAAATCTCGCCTGCCACGCGGGAGGCCCGGGTTCGATTCCCGGCCAATGCATGCATCTCTTCTGGGTTGTGGGACTCATACGGACGCGCATTAAAAGTGCCGCAAATGTCCAAGCGATAATAAAGCTTCTGTCAGTCAAGTCAACCCCACCTACTCGTGGTGCAGCCTGTGTTTGGCTAACGGGGCTCTGGCGAGGGGTGAGTTTCCGGCGCCCTTAAATTAACTGGAACCCGCTGCCTTGCGGTTAGTGTTTGACTGCCCAAAGGCTAAGGGTGAGGTAACCCTGACAGAAACCTCCGGAGGATCAAACCCCGCAGTCACGACAAGGTTTGCCCAGCTATGGATTAAATAGTCCCCAGCCATGGGTAAATGGTTTTCGGCGTAACGGGAAAACGCCAGCAAAGGGCGCTCACGGATTAACTGTGTCGACGGCCTCTCCCTGCAACCGCGTAGCTTCACAGTCGTCGCGATCATTTGTGCCACTGAAGATGGAACCGCGTGGCCAAGCCAATAGAACATGGCCTGCACAACCATGCTCTTCTCACTGTGCATGCAGTCTGCAGTCAAAAGTCCATCAAAAGTCCATCAATACGGATGACTCATGACGGGAGCAGGCTTAGTAGGCTGGCAGCCTCTAGTGCGAAATTCGATTCCTGGCGGCTTGGATTCTAACAATCGCTGGATAGAATGAGAGATAATATCCTTCGGTATTTCACCAAGCGACGAGGATGCACTTTTGGGATGCGCACCTCCCCAATCCGGGAAGCTCCTAGAAAGGTGGAGTAAATCGCATCTCATCACTCGCCTGCTCAGCACACCGCGGCTGGGGGGTACTCACTCAAAGCGGTCGAAATAAC